TATTATCGTTTAGTGCAAATTATATTAACCTGTTGTTAGAGTTTTCATTGTAAAAATTAAATTAAAAATATTACATCCAACACTATTTTTTTTCATATTATTTGCATTAATTCGTTTTAAGGTACCTACTTTTCATGCGTAACAAATGGCAATTGTTTCATAAATGAAAACGGTAACATCTTATTTAATTTTATCTTTCAGTGAATATCAGATGTGGTGTCTTACCGGGACTCGAACAAGTAACAAAACCTAATTAATCAGTTGAATATACATCACGATCGCATTTATTTCCGGTATTACTACTGATTATTTATTGTGTGCACATAAATTTTATTTTTAGCTTTTGTATTATTATTAGTTTAGTTAAAATAAAGTGTTAATAATGAAAAAAACCAAATTTTCGATAGTTTTAATGATTTAAAGTTAGTTATAAGTTAAACGAGTTTCTATTAACGATTTTTTTATGTAATAMAATTTTTACAAATTATTATAGGTAACCTACTTATGTATAACATGTTATAATGTATTTAAAATTGAAATATTATTTTAACATAGAACATAGATGATGACTAAATTCTGAATATYAAAATAGTATTTTTGTCTTGAAATTATATTGATATATTGGTTAACATTTGACCAACACTGCCCATACTGGATATTATTTTATTATCATATTATTTTTTTTTTTTACTCTTGTAAATATCTTCATCATCTGTGGGTGGTCCAGTTTTATACCTGATTATAAAGATTACACGTGGCGAAGAAATATTTTAATAAGGAATGTTTTATTATTATTATTATATCAGTCATTGCACTNTACGCGCGTGCCCCGTCTAGCGCCAACAATGTTTGTTTGAATATTAGTAACAATATTATACACGCCTATCTGCTTAATGACATAATAATGTTATTAAATCGCTATATTTTTGTTGTTTCCGTTACTGCCCCCTTCGTCGTTGTAGTCGTCGACTCGTCGTATTAAGATACCCGCGGGCAGGACGATGATGGAAACTGGCAAGTTCACGGCGGCAGTGGCGTTCACGTCTGACCTCAGTAACGACGACGAGTATTTATCTTTATTTCCGATGGCCGCCACCTGTGCGCGCGTCCTTTGGTTGCCGTGCCGTCGGAATTGGCGGGTGGGCAAGCGGCGTTCACCTACACATATTCACATTATACAGTATACACGTGTAATGTAATATTATACCTCTACCTGGATGGTGTACCTAAATACAATTGCGCACGCTGGGTTAAATCACGGTCGGTTGAAKAAAACGCATTAAAAATRAATAAATATTAAAATTATTATTCCAATAAAATATTTATAACTCAATATTTTAATAATTTCGTACTTCAAATTTCATTAAAATTACCGAATTGGCTGATGTCTAATTAACAATAATGYTCCGAAGATTTATAATTATTATTGTAAACACCTTCAGCATCATCATAATATACATATATATTTCACACATTTATACATATTTTTAGTCAACTCCGCACTGTGATCGCCAGCAAGTGTCGAGGTCTAGGACGGAAACCTTGATACTGCTAGTCGGTGCTTGTTAGAACACGAGGCTATAATTGTAGGTAAACATTGGTAATCTTTATAATATTTTAAAATGTACCAATTAATCCCGAATTATATTTCAGGTCATCTAATATCTAGAATACTATGTGAATATTGATTTTCGGTTAGAATATTATTATATAATTTAAAT